ATAATACCTTTATTTTATTTATTTCTTTTTATGTGGTGCTGAGGACCAAACCCAGGGCTTTGCACGTGATAGGCGAGCGCTCTGCTGCTGAGCCACAACCCCAGCCCTGAATATTTTTTTTTAAATGTAACCACTATCATGGCTATTTACCCAGGAAAACACACATATACATCTATATTTCTTCTTTTCTTCCTACCCACCTCCCTCCCTCCCTTCCTCCCCCCTTCCTCCCCCCTTCCTCCCTGCCTCTCTCTTTCCCCTTCCTTCCTTCCTATCTTCCTTCCTTAAAGGCCAATGGGATATGTAGGGCCTAGCAGTTCTGAGGTCTGACCCAAAACAGCAGGAAAGACACCAGAGTGAATATTAAATTTGCAGGACTGACTACCCTCCTACACCTGACTCAGACATTTTGGCCTCATAGCAGCTCCACTCTTTTCTGTAACACTGCCTGCCCTAAAAAGAGCAGCAAGAGAAGTAAGGAATTGGTTCCTTCCACATTGTCTTAAAAATTGCTGTGGTATCAGAGTGATTATTAATACCTACAACAATCACAATAAAGTAGATCTTTTGGGGTCTTGACCAATCCTCTTCTCAACCTTCCCTCCTCTGAATTATGGAGAATATTCCTTAATACAGATGAAAAGAAAAACAGGAATGGGAGGGGAGGATCGGAAATGGGAGAGAACATGCTAAGCAGGTGTAAAACACGGAAAGCATTCTGTAAAAGCTCCATTTCAGAGAGGGTGACTTTGTGGATGGGAGGAGGAGAAGGAGCTGAAGGGTGGTAATTAGCTTATTATTGTTTCCCCTGGGTGTTGTGAGAATTCCTTAGGAGACACTTGTAAAAAAGCAGAGGGAAGACAGTAAATACACATCTAATGATATGCTAAATAAATTATTATTGTTATTATTATGACTATTATTATAGCAATTGCAACTTGCTCCTGGCATCCAAGTTTCCACTAGAGATGGGAATTGGTCCCTCTACAGCCAGGCTTCCACTGCTGCCAATATGCCCCCAGGCACTCCCCCACTCTCAGGAATTGTAGAGTAATTGGGCAATATAGACCAGTCTTCAGTTAATAGCTGATCAGAAGCCTCTGCCAGGTGCCCGCTCAAGCAAAGAAGAAAAGGAAAAGTGATTGGTTAAGAATGGCAGAGGTTATACCTAGGGAAGAACTTCCTGACAACACCCCAACCCCACAGCAAGGGAACTCAGGGAGGGCAAAAGTAAAGGCAGATGAGTGGGGAGAGAAGGGGGTCACAGAAAGAAAGGGATATTAAACAAACCAGGGATCATTCTCTACCTAGAGATCACAGGCTTTTTGGACTCCATATAACCCTGTCAACTGTCAAGGACACTGGGTATGTGTGCATTTTGCTGGTGAGATGGCCAATAATTTTTGTCAGCTTCTCAAAGGGGTCAGGGACCCAGAAACAGCTAAGAGCCACACCAGCCCAGGTAAAGGGACATAAGACTCACTAGAAAAAAAAAAATACTGGCCAATACTTCTTGGTTTCCTGCATTTTGACCAAGAACAGTCCTTATCTGAACTGTGAAGTTTTTTTAATGTTTTTAACAATGTCCCCCACCCAATCCCATACTGTCCAGAGCCCAGACACCTGCCCTGAATTCTTAGGCAAACAGATGTAAATATAGAACACCCAGTTCTCCCTGCATTTTATACACACACACACACACACACACACACACACACACACATATATATATAAAATCTACATATTGTAGTTGTCAAGGGATCTTTATTTTATTTATTTACATGTGGTGCTGAGAATCAAACTCAGTGCCTCACACATGCCAGGCAAGCGTTCTACCACTGAGCCCCAGCCCCAGCCCTCCCTGCATTTCTTTAGGAAAAGCATGACCATCCCTGTGGGCACTACCTATTGGTGGCGAGGGGAGAATAAAGCTGTGAGTCTGAGGAGGAAGCTGTGAAAGGCTGGGGGCTAGAAAGTGGAATCCCAGGTTTAATTCAGTCCCCGTATAACCTTAGCCTGCACCACTGTGCCACTTAGACACAGGGTGGGCGCCTCTAAGGAGCCTTAAGGATAAAAGGAACCAATCTGGAGGCTCCACCCAATTTTCAGCCTTTGTGGGAGAGAGGAAGGCTGACCCTTCCCTGCAGACAGGAATCATTAGATGGGGAACCCGGAACTTGGCAATCTCATTCCACTCCCTGACAGTGACTGCCTGGCCCCAAGCTCCAAGAAGAAACAATTTTAACAGGGAACAAAGAGGGGATAATGGTGACAACTAAAATATACATATATGTGTGTGTATATAAAACAAACTGATTAGGGGCCATCTGAGAATGGAAAATTTGTGATTGGCTGATTGATTCAACAATTGATTGATTTTGCAGTTGCTGGGGATAGAACCCAGGGCCTTGCATGTGTCAGGAAGTGTAAGAGTACTAAGCCACACCCCCAGGCCATTGTGAGATTTTTAAAGTTAATTTTTTACCAAAAAATATTTAAACTACTAAATTAAAAACTTAAAGTATTAAGTCCGATCTGTTTGGTGTCCCTGGAGCAGGGCTGAGAAATAGTGGGCTTTCCTTCTGCCAGACTGTCTTGCACTGACTTATTTTTATTTTATTTGTGAATTTCTTTTTTTTAAAGAATTTTCTTTTTTCTTTTATCTAAATATTTTGTTAGGTGTGGATGGATCTTTATTTATTTTTATGTGGTGCTGAGAATCGAACCCAGTGCTTCACACATGTAGACAAGTGCTCTACCACTGAGCCACAACCCCAGCTCCTATTTGTATATTTCTTGATGGAAGGTGGTTCCTTTTTGGGTCCCTCAAGACAGAGAGGCAATTCCTTCCCAGGCCAGGTCTTGTTAGGGTTTAGTTTTCATAATTTGGGATTCTAGGGACCCAGAACATAGGGAATGGAGCAAACGTACACTGAGGAGGCAGGCCTGCCTTGGCCCCCCACAACTTTCCTTTCCCCTCCACTTGAGCCACTCTCCTATCCTACTAACCACAGGCAGAGGGTGGTGGAGCAAGCACTGCTGCCAGTTACCATGTTATTCCCCAGCCCAGTTGCCTCCAGCCCAGATACCTGCTAGCCAGTGGTGGTCAGTGACATGCAGAGTTAGGGTGAGGTTCTGTATTGACTGCATTGTGTATTTGGAATCCACTCTGTGCCTGGCAGCAGAAAGAGGCCTTAACCTGGATGAGTTCCCAGTTTTGTGGGTAGGGGTGTGTGGAGGGTGGTATATGGCATTTAACTCCATCTCAGGTGACTTAACTCCTTTCCCAACATCCTAAGGATCTTGGAGGCAGAGCTGGCCACCCAGATTGAGTTTAGGAAAACTTTTGCACAAACCATTCAGCAAAGATATCTGGGACTCCTTGGTTAAAACAGAAACAAAACAAACAAAAAACAACCAAAGAGTGTGTGTGTGTGTGTGTGTGTGTGTGTGTGTTTCCCCTAGGATGGATGGTAGCAGGGGAAGAATTGTGCAGCCTTGGCCCAATGGCACCTGCAAGCGTGGATATGAGTGGAACAAGTGAGGCCCTGGGGCTTAGGTTGGTATCCCCTGCTTCTTAAAGTCAAATTTTACACAAAAAGGCCCAAGGCAGGGTAGTTATGGATCTGGATGGGCCCCACTGTACCCAGAGGGAGCCTCAACTGGAGAAGCAACAAAGAAGGAACAGGCCAGTGGAGCCGAGTTAGGTAACAGAGACCCTGGGAGAAGGTCTGGGAGAAGGGGCAGGTAAAGAAGACCTCTCTAAGTCCTCTCAGAACAGGCCCCAAATTCACAAATTCACTCCTCAAATCCACTGGTCTCTTGTTCTCATCCACAGTCGCTCCTGGGGCACAGGAAGTCCCATAAAAGCAAGCTTTATTTGACCAGATTGCCTCAATTTCCTGACTGCATTACCAGAAAGCAGTGGTGGCAGAAGTACACTCCCCTCCTTGCCCAGTGCCTCCCATACCTCTTCACCCTTCATCAACATTTCTCCCCCTTCCCTCTTTCACTAAGGATTAAAACCAGGAACTTCACCACTGAGCTATAGCTTCAAAATTATTTTCTATTTGAGGCAGGATCTCAGTAATTAATTTGTCGAGGCTGGTCTCCAACTTGTGATCCTCCTGCCTTAACCTTTCTAGTCACTGGGATGACAGGCCTGCACCACCGTTCCAGTTTGAAGCCCACTATTTCAAAAACTAGGGTTCAAGAGAAAAGAGCTAAGAATAAAGTTAACCTTTGGTGCACTAAATGTCTAACAGGAGGCTGCTCCCTCAGTGGAGGGTGCCTCCCAGTGGGGTGGTAGGAGTGTTCACCCTTTGTAACAGGGTCCACACCTGTCCACAGCCAGCCCTTCACAAAATCGACTGTCACCTTCTGGTGAGTGCCCAGTGTTTACCCTGTTCCTCCCAGTCTATCTGTTCCTGGGAGCCCCATCACCCTTCATTTCCCTCCCCTCCTGGGCACTTCCTATGCTCTGTTTATCCTTTTGTAATTTCATCCCTCCTTGAATAAAGAACTCTGCTAGCAAGTTTCCTAGATGGCCAGATACAGATGGCCCTCTGCAGTTATCTCGCTGAACAAGTCTCTCCCAGCCCCTACACATAAATATGTCTATTCAGAGATAGACTGGCCTAAGTCCCAACACACACACATCAGGAGATAATTACACCTTATATACATATGGATATCTCTATAGAGTTATATTCAAAAGTGTCTATAACTCTAGAGAGATAGCAGCATGTACATATAGGACTATAATTACTTATGTCTATTTTTATAACTATGTGGTTATAAATAGATATGCCTATATATAGTGATAATAATATAGAAATATCTCCATAGCCATATATGTCTCTAAGTGAGTGCTCTAACTACTCTATATCACAATCAATAAGTATATATCTGCTGATACATAATTCTAACGATATACATTTATCTATATAGCTGCTCAGGGATATAAATCTGTCAGAATATCAAATGTCCATAAAGCTGTATGGCTATAAGAGAGTCGTATATTTTCCCATATATAAATCTGCTCCTATAACTATTGTATATGCACAAATACAATGGAAATAATTATATTTTCCTCAAGCATAAATCTGTAAATACAACCACAGCACATTTAGGTATGGTTAGAGATAGAGCAATATTTTGTAGACATCAGTCTGTCAATAGAGCCACCAGTGCTTCCAAACAGAGAGAGTTATAGAGGGTGTTATAAATAAACCCTCCAGATGTGAATGGATCAGTAGAACTAGATGTAAACAGGGCTCCAAGCTGTTCTTTCTTCTTCGTGGTAAAATATTTCTGAAGGGAACCAGGTCACGCAGGACAGGGGGCTAATGTGCCTGGGTGCTGGTAATTTTTCCCCCAAGGAGGGTTGGAGGTCGCTGGACTTTGGGAAGCCAAGCTGGAATGGGCGGGGGGCAGTGTCAGCTCCCAACGCAGCCCAGAAGCCCCTTCGGTCATCTCCGGGTGGCTGAGAGCTGCGCAAGTGGAGAGGCCTAAGGGAGAAAAATGGAAAAGCGGAAGCTGGCTTGCATCACTTTGTCCTCTTTAGGAACCAAAACCCCTCTCACCAGGGAAGCCCCAACCCGGTCTCTGAGCGTAAAGAGCCTGAAAAGCTCGGAGGCTGGCGGGCTGGGGCCGCAAGCTGGGCTGGGGAGGCCGAGGCCGAGCGTTGCCTGCAGCCAGCGCGTGGCCGGCCGGCGCCCCACCGCAGCAGCGGCCTCGCCGGCGGCCGCCTGGAACTCAAGACCTGGGCGTTCTCCCTGCGCCCTGCGCGCAGCGCTTCAGCCTGTTTTATTGTATTTTATTTTATTTGATTGCTATTTTGTGTTATCACAGTACCCTCCCCAATTCGAGGACGCCCAGGGCGCTCTCGGGAATCTTTGTGTGCCTTGGTCTTAAAGCGGTGACTCAGTGGATGGCGTATCTCTTTTCAGACCAAATGGGCCACGGGCGGTTGAAAAAGAATCCAAACCTCTGAAAAGGTTTGTGATTGAAATCTTTTAGAAGTTCTCATGCTCCTAGGTTATGGTCATTTTCTTTTCTTTTCTCTTTTAAAAAGTTGGTTAATATTTGTTCTTATATATTTTTCTTTCTGATCTTATTTTTGGGGGAGGAGAATTTTTTTAAAAGAAGGATTTCGTTAGACCCGAAACTGCATGGCGGCTTCCTCTCCCGCAAACGTCGTACCTCTCTACACCTCTGACTCCCTCCTCCCCCAAACAAATTAATTGATAAAATTGTCAGAAAGCTGTACCTGGAGAGAATGAGGCGGACACTGCCGGACCCTGGACTGTGATCTTCGCTTCCTTTGCGGAAATCCGCTTGGCTCCATGCTCCCGAAGGAAAATTCAAGGCGCTTCAACTCTTCCCTTCGTTTTCTTTTAAAAAAGACTCTAGGAAGGGAACTTTCCCTGGGCCTGCAGAAACCCCGGCTTCCTTCGCTCTCCGCTCTCCAGTTCTCCCCACTCTCCTGGCCCGGCGGCCATAAATATTTTTCTGCTTCCCGCCCGGCCCCGCGGCTAGTCCTCCTGGGCACCTCTGCCGCCTGGGCCGCGGGGATCGAGGCTGCGCTCAGAGCTTCATTTAACTCGGTCCTTTGGCCTGACCCTGCACCTTTGGCCTTCTCATTAAGACAGGGGATCCCAGAGAATCCCCAAAGCTACTAACCACCCTGTAAGTGGGATCCCTTTCCTTCTCGTTCAAAGCAAAAGAATTGAAAAAGAAGCAGGAAAGAGTGGCCTCCTGGCTCTTCCTCTCCTCCTCTGGTCAGAGGGCTCCGTCTAGGGAGGGGATTCCCAGCGCCAGCCCCCCAGGGCATTTAAAGAAGCTAACTTCCTTTCTAGTCTTCATCTGAGATCCTGTGATAGTGACCCCTTCCTCTGCCCCCTCCTCAAAATATCTCCTGGGCATTTTATTGTTACCCTACTAGGGTGGAACTCTGAACTACTGCTTTTATTATTGTTATTTATTGTTATTATGATTGTTAGAGATTTGTTCATCAGGTTCAAGGGACAACAGCCTGGCCCAGAGGGAGGCCTGTCTGTCACAAGTGAATGGGGACCGCACAGACACACACACACACACACCTAACACGGTGCACACACTCACTCACATGTATATACCCACAAATGCCTCTTAGGTTCGGGCCCCTGCACAGCCATTCAAATGAGGCAGGCGTTCTCCTATCCCCCAGCACACAAACAGCACGCTACCCACGCGCACCAGCATTCAGGCAGAACACCACCCCCAGACCGATGCCAAAACCCACACGCACCGAGATCGCAAGGCAAAGAAAATACGTATGAATCCCTTCTCTCCCACAATCTGGAGGGGCGAGTCAGGCCTCTGTCTCTTTCCCCCAGTCTCTCTCGCTTTCTCTTTTTTTTTCCTCTTGTTTACAGCTTCAGAGAGCTCAAGGCCCATAAATCTTGAGGGGCCTACAGAGCGCAGAGCACATTTGTATGCATCGTTAGGACTCGCTAATACCTAAGCCCATTAACGAGCGTGTATGCGCGTGGTTTCCGGTGTATATTAACTTATAGTTAAATTCTGGAGGAAAGGGCATTGTGAATTAACATATACCGAATCCATCACGGGCTTTTGTCATATCAGATTCGTCAACCATGGATTTGGGGGAGCAGGCTGAATGGGCCAGGGTCTAATCACCCTCTAAACTTTGTGGAGTAAATTTGAGGGTCTGGGAAAGATGAGCACAGTCCTCCTGCCCAGCCCTGGTGGTTCAGACCCGCAAGCCAAGTAGCTGCACACCTGCGGGAAGACTGAGGGGTGTGGGAGAAGGCTGTTAGGGGTGAAGGAGGCGGGCGAGGGGAGGCCCCTCTGGCTGCAGGCTGGGGTTGTGCTGGGGCCGATCGGCCTGTGGTCGATGGATGGGCCGACTGGTTTCCTCTTTCCAAGAGAAACGCCAAGGAGAGGCTAGTGGAGTCGCTGGACTTTAATTAAACCGAAGAAAATACAGTGGGAGGAGGGAAAAACGATCCAGAAGGATGAGGAGGAGGCCGAGGCCGAGGCAAGGAAGGAAGTCCGGGCTCTACAGAGCCTGGACATCTCCTGGGGGGCTGATAGCTGGTGGTTGCATGGTTCTTTTCCCACCCCAGTTACCCCTGGGTCGAGGCCAAACAGCTTCTTAAAAACAAGAAAGGAAGAAAGAAAAGGAAAAAGGGAAAGAGAAGGTAAAGAAAAAATAAACTCTAACTCTAGGACGGGTTTCAGCCAGGTGTTCCTAGTTGCAATGCCTATTGGAATCTCAAGGATCCTGGTCATCGGCCTGCGTAGGGATGAAGGATGCCCAGTGCTAGAGGGAGGACGGGGAGGAAAGGCCATCTCATGGGGTCCTGTAGAAAATGCCAAAGACAAAACCAGCTAAGTTATTTTGTCCGTGTAGACGTGGCTGCCTATCTAAATACAGCCGACCGCGGCGGGAGAGCGGGGGCGGGCTGGGGCGAGGGGGATAATCGGCCGGGATGGAGCGGGCTGGCAGGAGCGAAAATGCCTTCCTCCCCTTTGCTTTGCGGGAACAGCCAGAGGCCTCCCCGGGCCGAGCAGGCTGCCGCGCGGCGGGCCGGGCCGCGGCCGGTCGGGCCGGGCCTGGGGGAGGGGAGGCGGGGGCGGGCCCTCCCCGGGCGCTGTGAACTTTAGCTGGGCCGCCGCCTGTCAGCCCCAGAAAGCGTTAAAGGTGCAGCAGCCCGCGCCAGCCTCCGCAGCCGCCTTTGTACGCGTGATTTATGACTTCAATCTTGGTTCACCGAGAGTTCACACGGCTTTCGCTGCTGTTGAAGGTTAAAAGATGGTCTTCGCTTGACAAGTGGGACTATTGAAAATTCCTTCTTCTTCGTTTTTTTTTTTTTTTTTTTTTTAAGAGCTAAGACTCAGGAAAGAAAAAATTTGGGGGGAGGGGACAGGGGTTGCAGGTGGGGCAAAATAGTAGGTCAGGAAGGTTTGTCCTCCTACATTTAAGATTTTCTGTAGCTAAGATTTGAGTGTGAATTGGTGAGGACGGTAGAGAATAGGAGGAAGCTAGGGAAGAGGTTTAGAGATTTCTCATATTTGAAGGCCAAATGAGTGGCATTTTGAAAAACACAACGTGTTTTCCACCTCTAGGTAACTTGCCTTACAGACCCTACCCCATCCTCCTCTGGAGACTAAAAGCCGGCCAGGTAAGGATAAAGCTGAGCGAAGGGCAGGGTACTGCTGACAGTGTGCCAGCGGGTGTGTCTGGCTGACCTTCCACCTTGCCTAGAAAGCCAGGTTTTATTTAGTGTGCTCTTGTACCCTCAGATTTGGCAAGGCCATTTCTGGGTCCTGGTTCCAACTCTCTTCCTCCTGTCTGGTAGATTTAGTTTAACATGTATATTTGATGCAAATGAAGGGGAAGGAAGGACTGGAATTCCTTTCTAACCCCAAATCCCCTTGGTCCTAGAACAGGTCCCTCTTCTAGCATTTTGGAGGAGGTAGTGTCACAGCATAGATGGTAACCAAAGATCTCCTGATGGTCAGAAGGGTCCTTTGTCTTCGAAGTGTTTGTATATTTGGAAAAACAGGAGTCTCCAATTTTTGAGACACACACACACACACACACACACACACACACACCCTGGAGCTGTGAGGGACTGAGTGGTTCTTAGGGTTCCTTGAAACTATTTTTAAATCACTTGATGTAAGAATTTGGGATTATGATGTTGGGGAGGGGAAAAGTAGAGAACCAAGTCTGGTGTTGGGTATGCCCACCTACTCCTACTTAGGCACCTTGTCCCTTGTCCAATACTGGTACCACTTAGGTTTGTTTTGTTTTGTTTTGTTTTGTGTGTGTTTGTGTGTTTGGCTTTTGTGGTGTTGGAGATAAGACTCTAGGGCCTCAAGCATGCTAGACAAGTGCTCTACCACTGAGCTATATTCCCAACCCTCTTATGCAGATGTCAGAGCCAGTCCCTCAAATCCAGATCCTGGAACCAAAGGCATTCACATTAGAAAGGGTGCTCCCAGTCTCTCTTCTCACACAGAGTTTGAAGAGACCTTCCATCACAGTAGGAAGATGCCTAGGCACTCCCTATCAAAGGAGAGGAAGAAGACCCAGGAAGATGGCCACACCTCTTTGGGACCCCCAACCCCTCTTGCAGGGGATCCCACATATAAATAGCAGAATGGGAAGCAGAGAACAGAAAGACTCCAGAAATCTAGAGTCCAGATTCTGAGGTCACTTTGGTACAAATGACCCTCTGGCCTCCAGAAGAACAGAGAAGCGGTGGGGTTCTGTATTTAGAAGTTTGGGGGTGGGTAGTGTTAGGAGGAATGGCCAAGGAAACTAATGAATCTCTTCCAGGTTCTGGTTGGGAAGCAGAGTAATGACCATAATGGCCTCTGGAAATAATGACTGCACCGAAGTCCCCTTCCCACCACCTCTGACTATATTTCTCCCTGGGAAATAATTTCAGTGGGCTCCTGCTTATCTGCAAATCTAGAATAATTATAAATTTTTAATTCATAATTAAGACTGTTGATTGTGACCATTGCTCTTCAGTAGCCCTGTTTATTTCCTTCTCTTCTGTGAAGCAGAAGGCAGCCTCAGTTAGCCCCTGCCCTCTGCAACAAGCAAACTGAGGCCCAGAACCTCTTAAAGACAGCCCTTGAACTCGGCCATCTGTGGAAAAGTTGCCTCATTACTAGTCAATTCATGTTGTACTTTACAGAGTATTTGTACTCAATACAACCACCTCCCACTAACCTCAGATTTCAAAGTGCTGGTAAGATTGGCTCCTGGGGAGACTAGGAAACTAGACTCCAACTAGAGAAGCAGCTTGGTCAAACTTTAGAGTCAGGAATGAAGGCCAGGTGGCAGGGCTCCCAGGCATAATACCTAAGCAATCTGAGATGAAGAATGGACATTCTGCCTCTCCTGCCTTAAGGAAACGCTGGCCTCCCTCAAACCTCTAGGTCCCCTGAATACACCTGGTCCTTTTTCTGACTTTCCTTTCCATACAGCCACACACACACACACACACACACACAATATGGAGCCACAGGCTTCAAGATGCACTATGTTCTTAGGGGTGGGGAAGTGGGATCTGTCAGTTGTTTCACATCTGTAAAGACATAGAGAAGGAGAAAACTGCTCCTATCCCATGAGATAATTTCCACCTAAATCCCTATTTTCAGCTCACCCAGCATGAAATAGTTGTTCCCTTTCTCCTCTCCTACCCTCTGGAAATATGGAGGTTAGGGGCAGGATGAGCAGGTCCCAACCACAGCTGAACCTAGAGAAAGAGACAGAAGTAGGCAATGAAGGGGTGCTGATTACTTCCTACAAGCTTTACCTACATTCTTCAAACCCAGATCAACACCCTGAAACAAGGGCCAGAGGGAGCAACCCCCCTGTAGCCAATTCTCTACTCTTTCTTCTCATGAAAAAAGAGCATTTTCTCCTTCCCTGAGGCCTGGATTCCCCTGAGACCTTTGCTCTAAGAACATTACAGCTTTCCAAAGGACATTTGGAGACCCAAACTCCATGTATCTCTCAGTGCCTGTCTAGAAGGAAGCCAGTGGCCACTTTACACCCCACCAGTCAGCTGGTTCATGGAGTCTCCTCAACCAGGATCCCCAAACTCACCTGCTTTTCCTGAGAGCTAGCCCAGCATCCTTGATCTTGCTCAAGTCAGGACGCAGGTAGGAAGCCTGTTGAGAGGGTTCTCCAGGAGCTAGCTAGTATATTTTAATGTACTGTTTGATGGTAAATAAAGAGACCTTGGGGGAAAAAGAAAAAAAAAGGAAGGAGCAACAGTGCCTGGCATGTCCCCACCCGCCCCTCCTCTGGACATTGGCTTTCTTGATGAAACAGTGCACCGTTGTTCTTGAACAACCATTCCCCACCATCTCTGTTCGAAGGGTTTGAGTTTCACCCTCCGTTCACCCCCATTAATCACCCCAGCAGCTAAACATCACCCAGCCCCCTCTAGCTCTAGCCCTTTCTCTTCCTCTTGCCCTTAGTATTCATGGCGGGGCATTCCTCACTGCTGCGTGCCTCACAAAGATCTCTCCTCGGACACAAGGACCCTCCCCCTCTCTAGCTACCCAGTCCATGGTGGGCACTACTCTCTGTTCTGGGTGTCCTGATTGCCAGCTCATACTCTCGGACCCTGCTCCCCAGCTCTTCCCATAGCCGTTGCCCCATTCCCGTGCACATTCCCACTCACCACGCCCTCCTTCAGGTACTTTATCTCATGGCCACACAACCTCCAGTCTCCACCACCCACCATCGTTCTTTCCTCCAGGCCCATCTGCTTCTAGCTCCCATCTGCCTTTGACACTTCCCCTTGCCTCTTGTTTCTTTCCCTTCCAAGACCTTCCTGAGGCTCTTTAGATGGTGGCTTTGACGTCTGATCCTTCTAACCTCAAGAAACTTAGAGGCAGGGTAGCACAGTGGTTAAAAGCATGGCTTTAGATTCAAATCCCAGATCTGATCCCTGCGAGGAATATGCAACTATAGACAATCACTCAACCTTTCTGAGCCATCCATACAATGGACATACTCACTGGCCTTGTAGAGTTGTTGTGTAGATCAAATTAAATTCTATTTGCATAGATCCAAGCATTCAGCAGAAGTTTGATAAATGGTCATTATTAAATCAGAATCTTCTTGGGGAGAGAGAAAGGAGGCTCTTTGGATTCCAATAAAAGTTAAGAAGTTGCCTCTTGCAGTATCTGAGAGGGTAGGATAAAAATGACACAGTCTTGCAAAGCAGGGCCCATTTACCAGGAAGCCTTACTCTTCTGTTTGCCCAAGAGGGTCTCAACTTTGGCTGCACATTGGAAGCCCTGAGAGTTTTGTTTTTGTTTTTTTTAACAAATTCTGATGCTTAGACTCCATTTCCAGAGTTTCTAATTTGTTGGCCTAAGTAGGGCCTGGGCTTCTTGATTATTGTTTTTAAACACCCCAGGTGATGCTAATGTGCAGCCAGGGTTCCAGATGTTGCCCTAGGAAGGGATACAAGATGAGGATGACTGCTACTTCTGCCAGAGGACTTTTTAACATGGGATACCTCCTTCTAGCTGCATTGCTTCAATGGGAAGAAGTTCACTTAGGATTAGCTTCTCTTGAGATCCCAGAACTTCAGAAAGACTCACACTTTCCATTTCCTACAGCTATCAGGATTTAGAAAATGTCCATCCCAAGAAGAGACAGGGGAATGGACAAATTGACTTCTGAGAGGCCTTGCTCATCTGAAAGCATGAGGTCCCCAGATTACCAACAACAGAGGAAGAAGCAGCTCCCCTCAGTAGTGGGAAAATTTGTAGTTATATAGTAAATGGAGTTTCTACCTGGTTGCTACAATAATAGGCCAAGCAATTAGGATACAAGTTCCAGAATCTTTTCCTATATTTCCAAAAAGATAAATCACCCCCAGGAACAGAATCTGCATATTGTAATTAACTGATAAATATTTCATGCCTGGTTCAAACTTTCTCCTCTTCTATTTAATGGCCACAAACTTGAGCACTGAGGAACCAGGGGAGAAGAGGGTGGGGGCTGGCGTGGGGAGGCTCTGCCTTGGCTTTGGGGGAGGGAAACTCTGTCTTGGTTACTGCTTTATTTACTTTCCTCCTGTTCTTTTAAGAAAACATTGCCCACCTGGAGCAAATCAGGTCACAAGTGGTAGAGAGTGTGACTCAGGCTTGTGGCCTCAGCCCTGATCTCCTCCAGGAGAGGCCAGTCTCTGGTGACCCTGGGGGCACTGAGAGCAGCAGGTTTTAGAATCCATAGGGCCCAATATTTGAAAATAAGCTCTGTTCTCTAACTTTTTAACAGGGTGGGCTTAGGCAACTCAGTTTTTTTTCAGCTGTAAAATAAGCATAGCAATGTGTGTGTGGATGGGTGGTGCTGGGGATCAAACCCAGTGTCTTAAACATTCTAGGCAAGGGCTCTACTACTGAGCTACATTACTCAGCTGAGGCATAGCAATTTTTATCTTATAGGATTGACTGTGTTCAATAAGCTCTCAATACATGATGACTATGACCAACAATAATGATCATAATTAATTGCATCACATCGAATCCCTTCTTTTATAGCACCTAAATAAGTGTTTATAGCACCTAAATAAGTGAATGCTTACTCTGAGTATGGTGAATGCCTTATCTCATTTAATCAACACAACAAATTTATGAAGTACTTTTTAGTCCCTGTTTATTATCAATGTTTTGCAAATAAGGGAACTGGGACAGGTCGAAGGTAAGTATCTTGCCAGGGGACACACAGATAGGTGGTAAATAGTAAAGGCTTTGTATCTGACTGTGTGGTTTCAAATCTGGGCTCTAACTGGGCATGGTGGTGCACACCTGTAATTCTAGCCAGTCCAGAGGCTGAGGCAGAAGACTCAAAATTTTGAGGTCAGCCTGGGCAACTTAGTGAACCCTGTATCAAAATAAAGCATAAAAAAGGCTAGGGCTGAAACTCAGTGGATTTAATTCCTGGTACCAAAAACCAGGGGAAAGAATGAATGTCATATTACCCTTCCACCTTCAATTACTTATTATCAATTCTCGGCTCTGCCAGCCTGTACCTGTAGGATGCAACATAAGCCTCAGCTTCTTCCTCTGTAAATTGGGAATGTAAATGATGCCTACTTGGCAGGTAGTTGTGAGAATTGAGAGATGTATTACAGTGCATGCCTCAGCCCTGGTGCATGGTAAGTGCCCAATAAATGAGTCATCTTTATCACCATCATCACACCACTCTGTACCCCAGGGCCACGGTGTCTCTTGCTCTTTGGTGTTTGAGAGGTAAGTGTTTGTGAGGGTCTTCCAGAGGCCATAGAGCTGCTCTTCATTATGCACCCCTCCTCCACTTCTGTACCCAGGACTTGGGGAAAAGGATGCTAAGCAGATTATGACTCCATTTCAGGAATTAAATCAAAACTCAAGACTAACTCAATTTGGCTTCTGATGAGAGGGAAAGGTTAAAAGGGAGGGAAGAGGCATCTGGGTGGGCTCTCAGAAGTGTAACTGATCTGAATCCTCACCCGTAGCCCCTCCACAGGGCTTTGCCTGAGGGGCACTGGGGGTAGAGGAAAGAAGGAACCTTGGAAATTCACACCACCTGAAAATGAATGAGGGACTAGGAAACTGTCCAGGAACATTTCCCCAAAGGGGATCTTTCCTCAGGCTACCTCAGCCTAGTCCTGGGATGCAGGGAATCCTAGACTGGATGAGGACTGAGGGCTTAAACAGGTAGGTGGGCCTCAGAAGAGTAGAGAATCCTGCTGGAGGCCACTGCCTCCCTGGAGAAGACCTGAGTTGAGGCTCTTCTCTTTAAAGACTTCTAAGCACTACTAATATTGCCATCTTTTATATCTCTGATGTATTTATTCATCTAAAAATATGATATGTGTATCTGTATAAAAACAGCTTCTCTGTGTGAATTACCATTCAGCTGCTATTCAGCTTCATATATTTAGCTCAGATTCCTCTAAGCACTGCAAACTAAAAGTAAAAATCAATTCTACTTAAGAAAGAGTGGTGATTTTCCTCAGTGTTTTCTCTTGTGCTCCCAGGAGAAGACCATTATTTCCCCATATACAGAAGAGGAAACTGAGGCTCCGGGAGATGAGTAGTTTGCTCAGAGACGCGGTGTGGGTGCAAGGATTCCAAAACAGAAAGCAGCATTTGGGGGGAGAGAGGGCAGGGAAAGGCTGCCCGGTGCCTAAGCCAGAGGCCTCCCTCCTCCCCAAGCCCAGTGAATTGAGAAAGCCTGGGAGGCAGGCCCTGGGGAGGGAGGGATCCTGGGCTCGCCAAACAGCGGGGCCTCGGGCGAGAGCGTCGCCAGCGCGTCCTCATTCTGCGATTACTGTCAGGGGACCATCCATCAGCGCCGCCCGGGACGCTCGGGCCAGACTGCCCGCCGCCCGCCCGGGTCTCTCCAGATCGCATTAGCGTGGGGCGAGGGCGCAGTGTGGCACCGGCTGCCGAGGGAGAGGCGGCTGGCCACGCTGGGCGCAGGCAGGGACACCGCGGTGGGGCCACCTCAGGGGAAGGGGAGAGGCTGCCTTAGGATTCCTCCTCTTCTCCCAGTCTCTCTGCTCCGGGGCCAGGGGCTGTTGAAGGGGGCGGGAGAACCGGTGCCCAGAGCACAGAAGGCTCCCGGGAGGGGCCTGCAGCCGGTGGGAGAAATCAGTAGAAGCAGAAAGAGAGGGAGAAACACCTGGAAAGAGGAACAGGGAGGGCAGAGACTGAGAAGGAGGCACAGAGGCTGGAGATTAAGTGGGACAGAGGATTTAAGGGGCAAAAAGTGATGGGGAGAGAATTGGAAAGGGACAGATGAGTGAGCAGGGGACTAGAAAGCCACAGATGGTCAGGGGTGGCAAACACCTTACAGATAGCCTACTGCCATGCCCTCATTCTACAGATGAAGAAACTGAGGCCCAGAGTAGAGAACCCTCACCCACACACCCACTCCAGCTGCTTGCTGGGCCAGCTCTTGACCCTGAGGCACATGTGTTCCTTCAAACCATGTGTTTTGAGCATCTGCTCTATGCTGGGCACCGGGCCTGTGGAAATGATGCAGAATAGATTCCTCCCTCCAGAAGCTCAACTTGGGGAGAGGGGCTGGGCATCCAGAAAAGTTCCCTCACCCCCCCATGGGTGGGGTCCCTAAACTCACCTCTCCTGGCAAACCCTCCTTGTCCTCTGTGTTTTGCACATATCTTCTGGGGTGTGGCCAT